GGTGCAGCACTCTGTTAGGGAGCACATATGGCAGGATGTAGGAGGAAGCTGAAGAGAGGGGTCAGATTCCAATCTATCAGAAGACAGGGCAAGAAGTTCAGTGATTTTACATTTGTAGAATTTAGGATGTGTTTATCAGTTTTATTGTTGAGTGACAAGTGTGTGGGAAGGGAGGGAAGTTGGGAAAAGGGCAGGATTTGGACACTTTTTTTGAAGGATGTGACAGATTACGTTTTTGTGAATGGAAAGTTTTCTTTGGCACAACAAAGATTCCAGAGGGAGATGAGAAATTTCCTTATACAGTGAATTGCTATGACCTTGAATGGATAGCTTGAAAAGTTGATGGAAGCAGAGTTAACTATAATTTCAAATGATGTTTGTTCCCTACACAAAAAGAGCATTTTCTGAAGAAGGGTCTAGGCCTGAAACGTCAGCCTTCCTGCTCCTCTGATGCTGCTTGGCCTGCTGTTCATCCAGCTCTACACCTTGTTATCTCTTGGCTAAACATAGCCAGTTTTCAAAGGGATCTAGATAGACACCTGTAAATGAGGTTTGCAGGGCAGTTGCACTAATTGGATAACTTTTTCAGAAGAGCTGGCACAAACAGAATGGACTGAATGGCCTTCCATATGATGTCAACAAATAGGAATGACAGCATGCCATCTCGCTTTCCTACCATCTCCATCTCAGATGCAATGTTTTAATTATAACAAAAGATAGAAGGGAGAATGGATGTTTATTTACATTCCAAATTAAAATCCTGACTTTTGATTGAAGTCTAACATTGCTACACGATGCTTCATATAAATTGAGTTTGATAGACGTAAGCTGACAACCAGTAATGAGCCAGTATTAGTCCCAGAGGACTGACCCCCAAAAGAGTGGAGAGTATAGTGAGTACTGGAGAGCGTAGTGAGAGCAAAATGATTGGCCAGTTATTTGGGTTTGAAATATATCAACTGAAGGATAAATATTCACCAGAATATTGGGGAAGAAGTCTTTTGCTCTTTAAAACTGAATCTACAGCACCACTGTCAATGGCGCACTGAAGCATCTTTCTAGATTTTATGCCAAATTCTCTGAATTGACGCTTGAACATGCGACCTGCTGATTCAGGTGACAAAACCATTCATTAAGTCATTGCTGACACCTTTTACAGGATAAGTGATGAGAATTGCAAGAAAGCAATCAATCAGTTTCATAACACCAATCTGTCAGAAACTTCATAAATACTGTTTGCAGAAACATCCTTGATACATTGACATTGCAGCTTCAGGAGCCAGCTTGAACACAAGAAATTGGAACATAACATCACATGACCCATCTAGCCTGCTCAACCTCTTGATTTGATCATGGTAGACCTTGGGTTTCAACTCCACTTTCCTGTCACTTCCCACGTCCTTCATTCCTGGAGATACCAAAAATCTGTCTATTGCAGCCTTAAATAAGTCATTGTCATGAAGAACATATATAGAATTTAGCAGTTGGTCTGCTGTTGGTACGTTGGAGAAGAGTGAAATGGACACATCCTAAAACTTCAAAACAGTGCCCTAGGATTTCTACCATTCCCCTCAACCAGACCTTGGTTTAACATCTCTCCTGGAGAGCAACACTCCCTGTGCAGGTCACCAAAACCGGACAGGATGCATCATTGGCATCAGAGGAAAGGGAGTGAGTTACAGAGTGCCAGATAATCTTCCAATCCTCCTTAAATACAGGGATGGTGCCAGAAGCCTGGAAGATGGGGAACATACAATCTTCATACAATCAGCCAAAACAGAAAAATTGGCTGGTCTGTAATTGCTAGACCTGGTTAACGATGGTAGTAGAGAAACTTTTAAAACCAATAATCTGGAAGAAAATCAACAGCTGCTTGGACAAGCAGAGACTACAAATAACCAGCTTGGATGTTTTAAGGGCAAGCTTTTGTCTGACTAAGTTTTTTTTTGATGGTGTAACAGCAAGGATGAGTGCACTCCAGTTCACATTACACAGTGGACTTCGAAAAGGTGTCTGATGAAACATCAAACCTTAACTTTATCACCTTGTTGGTGAAATTGTAGCCCATGGGATAAAAGGGTCAGGAATAGCACAGCAAAGAATGGCTAAGGGATAGAAAATACTAATGGCGAATGGATGTTTTCAGACTACAGTGTACTATATAGTACTGTTCCCTATGATTAAATACAAGGATAACTGTTGTTTTTAATATATATTAAAAATTTGGATTTGGGGTTTTGGGCACAATTCCAAAATGTCCAGAAGACAGAAAACACCAGAGTTTAGTGAAAAAAAAATCATGAAGATAGTTTATAGACTTTTAGAAGACATTATCAGGCTGGTCAGATCGAGAAAACACATGGCAGATCAAATTTAGTACAAAAAGATACATTTGATGGAAAGAGCATGACATAATACAAGCCAAAATGTATAATTTTAAAGGAGGCGCAGAGAGATCTGGAATTGTCTGTGCGCAAACCTTTTAGGACGGTAGGACAGGTCAACAGAACTGTTAACCATAGAAGATAGTAAGAACTGCTGATGCTGGAGTTTGAGATAACAAGGTGTGGAGCTGGATGAACACTGCAGGCCAGGCAGCATCAGAGGAGCAGGAAAGCTGACGTTTCGGGTCGGGACCCTTCTTCAGAAAATTCCCAGGTTACAGGATATTTTTTGAGTCATACTTGAAGGTAGGGCCATGTCCCCAACAGCACCCACAAAAAGGGAGGCCCCCACACTTGCCTGACATTATCCAGCAGCATTTACTGTGTTGATTACTCCTTAGTAACTGTCCTTTCTCTGCCATATGTAAAAAAAGCAGCAGGGGCAGGATGTGGCACTTAAGAGGTAGTGGCAGGCCTTCTTCCAGGGTGAGAGATGACAACCAGAGACTATTGCAGCAATGTTAGTGGGAGAGGGGATAACTGATGGCAACAGACCCCGAGACCTAGGACAAGCAAGGACCAGGCCACAGGTAAACGAGGCAGATTGGTTTGCCATGGGGGACAGATCGCAGTCAACAGAGTTGCACTAATAACACATCACCTCCCACTTGCCAATTTTAAAAAAATATTTGTTAATGGGATGAGAGCATCACTGACCAGGCAGCATTTATTGTCCATCCCTAATTGCCCAGAGGGCAGAAGAGTCAACCACATTGCTGTGGGTCTGGAGTCACATGTAGACCAGGTAAGGATGGCAGTTTCCTTCCCTAAGGGATATTAGTGAACTAGACAGGTTTTTCCGACAATGCATTCATGGTCACCATTAGATTCTTCATTCCAGATATTTTATTGAATTCAAATTTCACCATCTGCCATGGCAGGATTTGAACCTGGGTCCCCAGAACATTATCTGGGTCTCTGGATTAACAGTCCAGCGATAATACCACTAGGCCATCGTCTCCCCAGTGTCAGGTCCTTTGATCAGCCACAAAGTGCCTTTGAGTGAAAAATTATCACCTCGGTCCTGGGAGCAACTCCCAAAATGATTTGTTTTTCCCAGCTTCCTGAATGGCAAGTACTTTCCAATGGCAAGCTGAGGCCCTTAAGTCAGCACTACTTATCTATTGAGGACTTCAATTAGCTCTGGGGCAACACAGCCATCTATAAGCCTTCCCACTCAGCACTTAATAGGGATATAAGCAGAGATGTGGGAAGATAGAATCCCCACATCCCTTCCTATATACCCAGCTCAGGAGAGGGCTTTAAAATCCATCCAAAACAGTACATCCTCTGTAGATTACATCAGGTCAATTGTGAGCTTTAAGTTAGCCTTCTCAGTATTTCTCACCACTTTGTTACTTTGCTGCACTACCCCTGCTCAAGGGATTACTGTATAACCAAGAGCCAATCCAATCTTGTAGCAGAGAATCCAGAAGATCCTTTTCTCATCTCCTTCCCTTTGCTAATTTAAAGGTGACAAATTTGGCTTGCAAACCTGCTCCGCAGTAGTAATTAGATAAGTGACAAAGAGGTGCACAAACACTGTGATTCATCCAGTTTTACTATGAGAATTTTTTGATCTATTAAAAAGCAGGTCACAAGACTGGTGGATAGTACAATCAATCATACTCAGCACAGTGCTGAACACTTTCAGAAAAGCGATAAATCAACTTTGAGAAGCAATGGCCTGGGATAAAGCAGGCACAAAATAAAAACACAGGATTTCCAGCACAACCAATTATTACATTTCCATAGGGATATTTCAGAGGACATTTGTTCAAGAGGAGACATTAAACCTCAGATTCAGCAACCCATCAGCAACATTTCTCTTTTGAAAATGATGGTTCATCTCCAACCTTCCTATGAGCCTACGAACAGCCAAGAGCATACAGGGAGAAGTGAACTGCATACATCACTGGAGGGAATGCAGACACAGCAATGTTGATTGGAAGCTGTATAAAGCTGCACATGTGCCTGGCAGGCAACTAAAGATTTGTCAGAATGAGTTGGTTCAATGGCAGCACACCTTCAAATGAATTCTGCTTTTCCGGATCTGCATAGTTTTACCCAAATGGACAATGTGTCAAAGAGTCAACCTCTGCCTGTGTTTCCAACACCTCTGACAAGATTTGCTCATGTTCCTGTGTACTGGAATATCAAAAAAAAAATACACTCCCAATTCCTAACCTGCAGAATTAAAACAAAAACTAACTTACAACTCAAGCCTCTCATTCGGTTCTATCTTGAGCTGAAACCCAATGCTAACAGACACTCTACGTTCACAAGTACCCTTACAGCCATCCTCCCGTATAAATTATAACTATAGGAATGTTCCTAGTGAGTGTTATTCTGCTTCCTCTCATTAAATGATTGACTCACCAGCCTTGTGCAGGATGCCCCAAAAGTAGGAACAGCACCTGCCAAAACTCGAGACAAATAACCCACTTGCTCTGCATCTGTGTGCAGCCAAACTGCGAGAACAAGCAAAGGCACAACTGGCCCCAAACCACGTTTCTCAACAATTCCCATTCAATAAGAGCCTGCTGTACAGAAAGCTCAAATATAACTTTTATTTTTAAAATAAATAAACCAGGAAGTGCTGGTCCTTTGAGGGTTTCCGGCAGGGGATGTACCATCCTGGAACAGGTCACTGTCCATACAGCTAAGACACTCAGCTTCCGATTTTACTCGTGCATTCCATTTTAGAGGTTGATGATTCAGCTTTTTTGGGAGTGGAAAGATGCTCCAACTCGTATCGGCTCTCCTTCTTCCTTGGGCTAGTGCTGCGCCCCTCAGCCTTGCTCTTTTTCAGCTCGATTATCTGCTGCATTTGTGCGTTGGCATAATCAGGCTTCGTGGACAAAGGGCAGGCCGGGACAGCCAGTCCGAGGATGTCAGCCACCATGTATGGTTTCAGCCAGCCAACCAGCGGTGTGCTCCCCGGGGTGTAGTGTGTCTGTTTGTGGTAAAACAGCAACCCATCCACCTGCAAGGCACATTTCAGATCACACACCTATTCTGGAGAGGAAGGGGGACCCAACTTAACATGGGACCTCAGTTTCTTAAACACATTCATCCTGACACACACTTTTTACACTTAAATGATTAAAATACCGATTGTGCATGCGAACATAAGTGGGGACAGACAAGAGGCTGTCAGAGGGAACGAGCAAATGAGGACAAAGGAGGGACTGGAAGGGAGAGATCAGACAAAGAAGGGAAAAGGGAACAAATAGATAGTATTTACATTGTACCTTTCTCAGAACATTTCACAGCTAAACAAGCCTAATCACTGGGAACACAGCAACATTCAACCAGCAATAATGTGAAAATGACCAGGTCATCTGCTTTAGTGATTGTGGTCAACAAAGGCATTGTCAGAATGGAGATAGCAAGAACTGAACATGCTGGAGTCAGAATCAAAACAGTGTAGAGCTGGAGGAACACAGCAGCTCTGGCAGCAGAGCAGGACTAACAAAGGGTCTAGGCCCGAAACGTTGACTCTCCTGCTCCTCTGATGCTGCCTGACCTACTGTATTCTTCCAGCTCCACACTGTATCAACGTTGCTCAGAAAACTGGAGATAATTCCCCTGCTCTTCTTCAAAGTTGTGTTACGGGGATTTTATGGGGTAGGGTCAAACAGAGTCTCAGTTTAACATCTCATCCAAAAGGCAGCACAGCCAACCGTACAAAATGCTCAAGGCTGCACTGGAGTTGCCAGCCCAAATTTTGTGCTCCAGACTTTGGAGTGGGACGTAAACATACAAGTTTTTGACTTAGAGACCAGCATGATAACCCAGTGGACCATGGCAGAGATTAAACTGGAATGGAAAGCCAGTATATTTGAGTATGGTAAATGGAGGTATAAAACACCGCAGTTCCATTATGACAGGCAAGTTATTATAACATTTGTAACAATGAACTAATTTGGGATTCGCCAATCAATCTTACTCTGATCAGAGGTTAAACAAAATAAACGGGTTAATGGCAGACATCAAAACAATGTCAATAAAAAAAATACAATCTGCTGTTTTTTGGAGAAAGAACTGGTTATATAGAGAAAAATTGGGGAGAGGAGAGTGAATGAAACATGTAGAGAGACAGTACCAATAACGGTTTAGAAAACTTTTAATTACCTCAAATGGATAAATTGCAGCCAAAGTCTGACAAATAGCTTCTGGGGTATATGGCAAACTTGGCAGGCCCACAAACTTAAACTGCGGAGAGAAGAGAGAGATTGATTTTTGTACTTCTCAACAGTATTGACAACTCAATGTATTGCTGGCTCACGGGCCAAAAACAATATTAAAAACTGATGAATGGAGCCTGGCTCCCAAACAGCCCATGCCAATGTTCACATTCCACTCAAGCATCCTGCCACCTATCTTTATCCTAATCCTTTATTCCCTTTGTGTTATCTAGACTCCCTTAAATACATCAAAACTATTCACATCAATCATTTGAAAGATGAGGTGCTGTTCTTCAAGCTACCAATTGGGCTCTTCATAGCCTCTGGACTCAACCTTGAATTCAACAATTGAAGACTAGTTTCTTTCCCAACATTACACTTCATTTTAACTTTACACACGTCAGCCTTAATCTGGTTTTTCTTGCTTTTTCATGGCAGCTATTTGTGAACAGTTTTCAAGAAGCGCATATTAACTGGGGGCTCATCTGTGCTCCAACACGGCATCTTTCGGGTGCCCCTGGAGAGGAAGCATACGGTGTCCCTTGGAATGCTTGAGCCCTCCTGTGACCAATGGGCACTGCAGTGACTGAGTGCATCAACCCTAGGGATGACATTTTAGTTTAATTTTCTAAGTTTCCTTTGAATATTTAAGTTTTATTAAAGAACAAGGCTTAATGGGTTAATTCAGTATCCCTCTAATTAGTTAATCTGATCATTTGAGCACCCAAAAAAAAGCAGCAAAAGAGGGACTGTTGTTTGGAGGTGTATGATAAGCGAGCTACTTGTTTGTAAGTAGAAGTTAGAAGAACAAGGTTTCAGTCTTTTTATCCTTCACTGTCTAACCAGCTGAGTTGTAACAAATGTTCAGGACTGGGTTAAAATACCATCCAGTTTGTTTTTCTTCCAAATCAAAATTGTGTTCACTATTTACGTTTCCATGTTTACTTTTCTAGTATTGCTTCAAGATTTTATAAACATTCTTTCTAGCTGTGGGGATGAGGTAAAGTCTTGTCCACATTGATGCAACATGTCCCTTGTTCAAAGAGGAGGCCCATTTACATTTAGCGTTGGACAGTAGGTTTCAGATTATAGTAATAAAGTGCACCTCAAATCATTAACACAAAGCAAACATGTGCCCTGTGAAAAATTCCATTCCCAAGTTACTCATCTTACTGCCTAAGGAAAAACTGATATATTAGGACATTGCTTAGCCAGAACCAAAACGAAACAAACAGAAGCAAGGTACATGTCTAACTTCTTCCAGTTCTGGTGAAAGACCACTGCCCTGAAATATTAACTCTGCTTCTCTCTCCACTGAAGCTGCCTGACCTGCTGAGCACCACTAGTACTTATTTCAGATTTTCAGCATCCACAGTACTTTGATTATTTAGCCGCTTGAGACTGCTGGTTACAATAATTTGCTACAAAGATTCAAGCTTCCAAACTACAAAATATTAAATTCCAACATTTTAAACACCTTCATTAGATCAAATCAACTTGACATGCAATCTGCCCTAGTCATAATTTATTCTTTTAAGTCTAGGTGTCACTCTGGTGAATCTACACTGCAACACTTTTAACATATCCCAAGGTTTGTGTCTATTACTGAACACACAACTTCAGAAGCAATGACCTAGTGGTATTATCATTAGACTATTAATCCAGAGACCCCAGTAATGATCTGGGGGCTGGGGTTTGAATCTCTGCCATCCTCATGTCATGATCTATACGGTCTATAGTCAAGCCTACATATGACTCCAGATGCACAGCAATGTGGTTGACTTAACTGCCCTCTGGGCAATTAGGGATGGCCAATAAATGCTGGCCCAGCTAGTGATGCTCACATCCTGTGAATATTAAAAAATAATGGAGCCTTTGCAGGCTCTGAACAATTGAATCAACCATCTCCTCTCTACTTCAGCTCCTTTGGAAGTAAAATCCGGTATGGAGTTTAGTTTGGACTGTTCATGCTTTTGATGATGACCCACGAAAGTCATTCTCTACTCATCAAGTGAAGAATGTCAGAGTTAGGAATCAGCAACAGCTTCAACACCAATACATTTAAGATGCAGTATGTCACAGGACTGAAGCTCTCTCTATCCCCATAAACTATGAGCTCCAAACCAGCATCTCATTAAAGTGTAATTTCAATTTCTGAACTAACTATCCTACTACCCATTTGAGTATTGACAGGTTTGGGTCAGGTTTAATGGCCAGTCTAATATGGAGGATTCCCATGGTGTCATCTTTGACAAAGAGACTTTGATCACAGTTTACCAAGCTGAATTGAGACCCAGGACCACTGTGTATAGGAAGGTGTGCTGTAGTCAACAATGCCTGAAAATTGACAGACTAAAGCATATAATTATGTTGCACAGTAAAATATAACCATTTTTAAACAGAGTCCAAGTACACACTTTTAATGAGAGCTTGAGTTCAGTTAATGACACTCCATGAATCTCACCCCCACTGATTACTGGATCCCATATTTATAAAGAATATGACTTACTTATTTCTTTATTGAAAAAAATCCACATGATTTCTCATTTTTCCACTGGTCATCAAACTAACTTTCAGAAAACAGGGGTGGGTAATCATATCTTGAAACTTCATGTTTTGACTCAATTCAAATGCACATGTGTAGAGAGCTTTATTTCATTTAACCACACTCCACAAAGACATTGATAAGTTGGTGGAGTGGTTAGATAGGTGGTAATATGAGGTTCTATGCAGAGAAGTGAGTGGTCGGAAAAACATTGAAAGACAATATAAACTAGGGGTACAATTCTAAAGGGGGTACAGGATACAAGGACCTGGGTGCATACGTGCAGATCATTGAAGGTAGCAGGACAGGCGGAGAGTACAGTTAATAAAGCATAGTGTTCTCAACTTCATTAATAGAAGCATAGCATACAAGAGCACAGGAGGTGATGTTGAACTTACATGAGACCCTTGTTAGACCTCATTGTACAGTTGTGGGCACCACATTATAGGAAAGATGTAAATGCAATGGAGAGCGCAGAATTGGTTTATAAGGATGGTTCCAGAAATGAGAAACTTCAATCTATCCTCATAACTGAAGAGGATGGGACTGTTCTCCTTAGAGAGAAGGCAGCTGAGAGGAGACTTGATAGAAGTTAACAAATTCTGAGCTAGTTGGATAGAGTAGATAGGGAGAGGCGGTTCACACAGGGAGAGGCGGTTCACACTTGTAAAAGATAAAAGAATCAGAGGCACTTAAAGTGATGTGTAAATGAAGCAAAGGTGACGCGAGAAAAGAAACTTTTTTATACGAGTAGTTAGGGTAAGGAATATATGGCCTGGAAATGTGGAGGAGGCAGGTTCAATTGAGGCATTCAAGAAGGACATTGGATGATTATTTTGATAGAAATTGTATGCAGGGAAATGGGGAAAAGGCAGGAGATTGGCAGTAGGGCATAGGACCAGTGCAGGCACAATGGGCCAAATGATCTCATTCTGCAAGGTAAGAATTCTGTCATTCTGTGACAAAACTCTTAGCCTACTGATTATGAACTCCTCATATTTCTACAACCAATTCACACCAAATTAATCCTCAATTAATATATCCATCTCTTTCCCTTATTCCATTAGGTTTCAGGCTTTCCTTCAGGCCATATTTGATGATAACAAATTACATCTCTAAAAATGTAAATAAACCATCAGCTTCGACTGGAATCTGCAAATCTTGCCAGATGAAAATGTGGAAACACTCACTGGATTGTGGGATGCTATCTCAGCCAGCTTCTTGCCTTCCTCTTCCAATTTTGACTGAAGCCAGAAAAATCTGAATTCGGTCTGTATTTAAAAAATATAAATAACTAAAAATGATTTGCTGAATAACCATTTACAAATTCATTCAAGGAATTAAACAATTTGCATTACTGTAGCATCTGGTCATGCCCTCAAGACATTATTAAGGACTTTAAAATGCATTACATTTTGAAGTGCATTCCTTGATATTGTAGGTGAAAAGGCACCCAATTTATACAAGTCAAGGTTCCCAAACAACAAGGCAATAAATATCTAGATGACCCTTCTGGTTATTTTGAAAAGCACATGTTGTCTTCCATTCTCAGGACATTTTGTGCTGCTTGAGCAGACAAATGGAGCTTCAAATTCAAGTTAATGGTCCTCCAGCTCCATCAGTACTGTATTTGAATCTGTATTTGGTGCTCAGGTCTAGTCATGACCTTTTGACTCAGAAATTAGGCTATCAACTGCGCCAAGCTGAGTTAATAAACAAGTTCATGCCAAACTAAAAATGCATTTGGTTTTGTTCTTTTTAAAAAATGTTAGCCTATTTAAGACTTACATGTATGGAGCTTGCTTAGTATAGCATCATAGAATCCCTACAGCGTGGAAACAGGCCCTTCGGCCCAACAAGTCCACACCGAACCTCAGAGCATCCCACCCAGACCCATCCCCCTATAACCCACCTAACCTACACTTCCCTGAACACTACTGGCAATTTAGCATGGCCAATCCACCTAGCCTGCACATCTTTAGACTGTGGGAGGAAACCGGAGCACCCGGAGGAAACCCACGTAGACACGGGGAGAATGTGCAAACTCCACACAGACAGTTGCCCAAGAGTGGAATCGAACCCGGATCCCTGGTGCTGTGAAGGCTGCAGTGCTAACCACTGAGCCGCCGTGCCGCCCTAGAGTAGAATTATAGTTACAGCACAGAAGTAGTAGATGAAACATCTTAAGGATGTCCCATGTCCCATGATTACAATATAGAATAAATGGAGCAGTAGGGAAAACAATGTTTATTAATGTCTTACAGACCTGACAATCATAGACTGGGTGACCCCTCCAACACATCACATCCAAAACAAAGTATGTTCTGTTTACTTCACTGTAAATACAGTCCAATATAGTGTAATCTGGAGAAGGAAATTCCAATAGTCAGCAATAAATAGCTTAACAGAATCCAGAAGGATAACCTCCTTAAAGCTCAATAACAAGCCTCTCAAATTTTCGTTAGGTTAATGAAAATTAACCATCTGCTCTAGATATCTTTTAATCAACCTGTTCAGATAAGTATGAAACACCTCTACAGCAGGTGGGATTTGAATCTTGCCTTCTGGCCCTGACAAAGGCACACTACCAAACTGCCCGAAGAGTCCTCAATTAGTTGCTCTAAAGTAGGAAACTTTAGAAGCCAATTTACGCACAGCAAGCTCTCACAAACACCAATGAAATGGCAATCAGGTTATCTGTTCCTTTTTAGTGATGTTGGTTCAGGGATAAATAAAGGAGTTATGAATGAGTAGAATTATAGTTACAGCACAGAAAGAAACCATTCAGCCTGTGGAGCTCATGCTGGCTCTACGCAAGAATAATTCAGCCAGTCTCACTGCCCTGACCTTTCCCATAACTGTTTCCCCTTCAAGTACTTACCTGATTCCCTTGGATAAATGCAAGGTATTGCATTTTGGTAAAACAAACAAGGGCAGGACTTAGAGATAGTAAGGACTGCCGATGCTGGAGTCTGAGATAACACAGTGTGGAGCTGGAGGAACACAGTAGGCCAGGCAGCATCAGAGGAGCAGGAAAGCTTACGTTTTGGGTCGGGACCCTTCTTCAGAAAATGTTATTAAGGGCAGGACTTATACAGTTAATGGCAGGGCTCTGGATAATGCTGCTGAACAGAGCGACCTAGAGGCTCAGGTACATACTTCTTTGAAAGTTGCATCATAGGTAAACAGGGTGGTTAAGAAGACATTTAGCACACTTGCCTTCATTGCTCAGATCGAGTATAGGAGCTGGATATCATGTTAAGGTTCTACAGAATATTGCTGAGGCCACTTTCAGAGTACCTGTACAATTCTGTTATAGGAAGGATATTATTAAATTGGAGGGTTCAGAAAAGATTTACCAGGATGTTGCAAGGGCTTGGGGGGCTTGAGTAACAGCATAGGCTGGGACTTTTTTCACTGGAGTGTAAGAAGTTGAGGGGTGACCTTATTGAGGTTTATAAAATCATGAGGGGCATAGATGAGGTGAATAGCAAAGGTCTTTTCCCGAGGGAGGGGGAGTTCAAAACTAGGCGGCATATTTTTAAGGCAAGAGGATAAAGATTTGAAAAGGGACCCGAGGGGCAACTTATTCCACACAGAGGGTGTTGATATGTGGAATGAGCTGTCAGAGGAAGTAGTAGATGCAGGTGCAATTACAACATTTAAAAAACATTTCAACAGGTACATGAATAAGAAACGTTCACAGGGATATAGGCCATATGCAGGCAAGTGGAACTAGTTCAGTTTGGGAAACTTGGGCATGGAGGAGTTGGACCGAAGGGTCTGATTCCATGCTGTATGAATCTATAACCCTACACACCAGATTGCAACCACTCAGCGTGGAGAATGGCTTTTCCTCGTGTCATCTTTTTCTTATCTTCAGTTTGCTTGCCATTCATTTCAAAATTGATGCCACTTGTCTCAATCTTTCTGCCAATGGGGAACAGTTACTTTCTTTGTTGACCTACATGATTTTGGGCAGGCCTGTCAAGTAAGCTCTTAGCCTTCTCTCAGGAGAACAGTCTAAATTCTCTAATCTAACCAAAAGAATGGGACATGATACTCCCAACTGAGGCCAAATCAAAGCTCAATGAAAGGTTCATTACAACTTCATTGTTTTAATATTCTACAGATCTATTTATAAGTTTCAGGAACTGTATACCTTTTTAAACATTTTTTGAAGTGCCCTGCCGCCTTTAAAATTTGAGTCCCCAGATATAGTCAGACTCAGTAAGAGATCTGCAACTCCACATACCCCCACACAGCAAACCTCAGTTGGTAATCACTTCTTGGGCAAAAGTTTTTTTTTAAATTCCCTCTTTACAAACTAGCTCAATGGATAGGGGATAGTACAGTACTGAAGCAGACAAAGGGCTGAAGTTTGTTTCCAGTTCTATGCGGGTTAAGGGCAGACACTGGGATGAGCCTCATTGCCCAACGGCACGAATGCACACGTAAAAAACATAAATTACATATTAATCAGTTTCTCATCAAGTCAGGAGTTCTCAATCCTTGCTGAAAGAGATAATGAACATTGATTTGATATCAGTACAGATGTTAACAATTATCTGAGCAGCGCCTAAGTTCTATATCCACCAATACAGGAGTCAGTTCCAAAGGCACCACTTCTCTAGTACTCAAGCAGTTCACTGAGTTCTTACGCTGTACTCAGCCACTGACAAAGCTCTGCTGACTTTAGGCACTTAGGATTTCAAGCTGCAGTTGCAATCGGCTGTCAGCACCTTGTTAAACTTTGATCACCTTAGTGCTGAGATGAACATACAGCTGCTCCTAAGGGCAGCTGCTAACTGGAGACTGTCCAATGTTTAAATATGTTTATTGCCTATGGCTGATAATGGGCAAATCTCTCCAACATAAAACTTGGCCATAATACACAATGGGAACTATGTTCAAAATTTGGTAGAGAGTTTTATTTGACCCTTACAACAGTGGTAGTAACATTACCGGAGAAGATGCTTAGATACAAGACTTACTTGCATTTGGAAAATAATGGACTAATTAGGGATGGTCCGTATGGCTTTATGTGGGGGATGTCTTGTCTGACAAACTTAAGATTGAGATTTTTCAGTTAAGTGCTGAATGATGAGGTTAGGGCAGTGGATGTTGTTTGTATGGACTTCACTAGAGCATTTAGGAAGATTCCTCATACATTTTATGGAATTCATGGCGAGTTGGCAAGTTGGATACAAAATTGGCTTTGTCATAGAAGACAGGAAATTTTTGTGGAGGGGTGCTTATCTGACTGGAGATCCGTGATGGTGGTGTGCCGCAAATATCAGTGCTGGGACATCTTATTTGTTATATAAATGATTTGGATAAAATGTAGGTGGTCTGATTAGTAAGTTTGCTTATGACACAAAAAGTTGGTGGAATTGTGGATAGCGAGGAAGGTTATCAAAAAGGATACAACAGGATATAGACCAGCTGGAAAGTTGGGCAGAGAAATGGCAGATGAAGTTTAACCCATACAAATGTGAGGTGATGCATTTTGGGAGGTCAAATGCAAGGGGAAAGTATACAGTAAATAGCAGGACCCTTACGAGCTTTGATAAACAGAGGGATCTTGGGGTGCAAGTCCATAGCTCCCTGAAAGTGACAACACAAGTGGATAAGGTAGTAAAGAAGGCATATGGCATGCTTGCCTTTATTGGTCAGGGCACCGAATATAAAAGTCATGTTGCAGCTGTATAAGATTTCAGTTAAGCCACATTTGGAGTATTATGTGCAGTTCTAGTTGCCACACTATAGAAAGGATGTGGAGGTTTGGGAGAGGGTGCAAAAGAGGTTGACCAGGATGTTGCCTGGATTGGAGTGTATTAGCTATAAGATGAGGTTGGACAAACTTGGACTGTTTTCGCTAGAGGAGGCCGAATGGCGACCTCCTAGAAGTATATGAAATTATGAGAAGCACAGACAGAATGGATAGTCAAAGTCTTTTTCTTAGGGCAGAAATATCAAATACTAGTGAGCATAGGTTTAAGCTGAGACAGGGAAAGTTTAAAGGAGATGTGTGAGGATTTTATTTTAAATAGAGGCTGACTGGTGCCTGGAACACACTACCAAGGGAGATGATAGAAGCAGATACATTAGCAAGGTTTAAGAGGCATTTAGATATGAACAGGCAGGGAAGAGAGGAATACAGACCATGTGCAGGCACATGAGATTAGTTCAGAATAGCATCATGGTCGGTATAGACATGATGAGCCAAACGGCCTTTCCCTATGCTGTACTGTTCTATGTTCTGAAATATGAAAGAACTGTTTCTGCTGGTTTACAAATAGAAACCACGAGATCGTGTCTTTATTTTATAATTCAGGTAGGTTTCATTGCAGAGTTTGTTAGAATATAGAATTCTTGATCAGAAACAGCAGTGGAATTAGAAACCATGAAACCACTTTTAAAAGGAGGTTCGTTAAATATTTGGCAAGAAAAAGAAACAAATTTTAAAATGCAGTGGGAAAGGATGGGAGGAAGGGATTTTTCAGAGTGCCAGCATAGGCACAGGAAGCGGAATGACCCCCATTCAACACCATGCAATTCTGATTCTGTGCTCAATTTTGTCTCTCTTGGGTCATGAAAGAGCACGAGGGCAGATCTTTCTACTCAAATTGAACAAACTTATTAAAAACTATATTTTATTAAAGTAACTCACTAAAGGCTCTTCATAAGCACATTCCAAATGATCAACATCTACCAGTTATGAGCAGACGGGCAGCCAAGTTACTAATCACCTGGACTCTAAATCCTTGAGACAGACCGACACTCCTCACCCCAAACCCCACACCAGACCAATCCAGCAGACTTATAGGTCTACCTAGACCAAGTGGACTGCAGCAGTCCAAAGTGGCAGATCAACTCTGCCTTCTCAATAGTAAGTAGTATTAGTCCATAAGATCATAAGAAATAAGTACAGGAGTAGGCTGTTCGACCCCTCGAGCCTGTTCTGCCATTCAACAGGATCATGGCTGTTCTGGCATTTCTCATGTCTACTTTCCTGCCCTTTCCCTATAACCCTTGATTCCCCTACTGATCAAGAACCTATCTCAACTTTAAATACACACAAGGACTCTGCCCTCACAGCTCTCTGTGGCAAGGAGTTCTGAAAGAAGAACTTCTTCCTCATCTCAGTCTTAGACTCCAAATAAAGGGGTGTTAATTTATGTCCTCTGGTCCTAGACTCTCCCATGAAAGGAAACATCCTCTCAGCATTTACCCTGTCAAACGCCTGAAGAATCTTGTATGTTTCAATGAGGTCACCTTTCTTTCTTCTAAATTCCAATTAGTAGATAAATAAATACGGACCTAGCTAGCTGAGCTCACATGCTGCAAAATAACAAATTTTAAAATGCGTGTTTACCTTTGCCAGTAGCAGAGTTCTGTCGATTTCCACCAGGGAGGAGTGAGGGAAACCTGTTCACACAGAAGCCACTTCTCGTGTACGCAGCCGTGCTCCCCTGACCAAAGGAGATCCAATGGAAACCATTAGTGGATCAAATCAGAGGCTTGACCTCATTTTCACTTTCTCACTCTTCTGTTGTGTCTTCTGTTTATAAGACCCCTCCCTCCAAGGTTTAATTACCATGCATCATTGTGCCACTTGGTACAATACGTGGCCTAACTCCATATACCTGCGTTTGGCCTATTTCCCTGAATACCTTTGCTTAACAAAAAATTATCCATCTTAGTTTTACAATGAACCAACCTAGCATTAATTGCCATTTGTGGAAGAGAGTTACAAACATCTATCACCCTTTTGTGTGTAGGAGTGCTTCCTAACATCATCCCTGAATGGTCTGGTCCTAATTTTTTGCCTATGCCACTTTGTTCTAGAATCCCCAAACAGTGGAAATAGTTTATATTTTTCTATCCTGTCTTTTCCCGTTATTACCTTGATAACTTAAAATCAGATCATCCCTTACCCTTCCAGAGAAAGCAGGCCTAATTTGTATAATTTCTCCTCATAATTTACCTTTGAAATCCAGGTATCATTCTTGTAAACTTATGTTGTTGTCCCTCCAAGGCCAATATATCCTTCCTAGGGTGTGGTGCCCAGAACTGCTCAAAGTACTCCAAATGGACTCTACCAAGGTTTTGTACAACTGCATCATGACCTTTGCAACCTTGTACTCCAGTCCTCTAGATATAAAAGCCAGCATTCCATTGTCTTTCTTAATTATTTGCTGCACCCGTTCGGGGCATTTTAAAGATCTACTCACCTGAACCCCCAAATCTCTTCAGACGTCCACTGTATTTTACTTCATACTATCTAGAAAGCACCTGATCTACTCTTTTTTGGTCCAAAATAGATAACCGCACACTTGCCTACATTGAAATCCATCTGCCATGGTTTTGCCATTCACCAAATTTATCAATATCCTTTTATAATTTTAATGTCATAATCTATATTATCTACAATAGCTCAGGATGTGGTTTCTTCCCCTTTTTGTTTTAGTGAGTGTTCTGTCCTCTTTCAGTGTATTCCTTTCCCCTGTCCACTCCACTCGATTCGATTCTTTAGCACGATCCAGGGAGGCACTCAATGCCTGGCTTCTCATAAACCAGCTCTGACAAAAGTCAGGATGGAGATATGTCAAAGACGCCCAATCAACAGATGCAATGTTTAAAATGCATAACATATGATATTGACTTGTCCCCAGAAATGTCACACACATGTTGATTTTTAAAATTATTTCTTGTGCATCATTCTTCTTTAATCTATACTTTGCTTATAGATCAGTATGTTCCACATTATTATAACACTAATCACAGCTCCTCCTTTCCAGAATACTTTTGGATCATCAACCATCTCTCGCAGGCCTATTCATTGAGTACTGTGTCTTACATCAGTATGAATTTCTCTATCCTGACTTTCATGCTAGAGCTTTCCCTTTTCTGATCCCAAAATCAAACATTTCCCAGTTCTTTTCAATCTGGCAGTACTTGCTAGTGAAGCTGCTCAAACGATGGTGCTGAATAGTGGATCATGGCTGCTAATCTCTTCGACAGTTATCCTAGATTGATATTGCAATGCTGCTGATAAAGGCAATGTGCTATGTGAATTCACATCTGGCAGCAGTAAGGTTGTCCAATTGTGCAGGGCAGGAGGAATTTCAGGCATTCTACACTTACTCTGGAAGCTACAATGAGAGTCCGCTTGCCAACAGGACAGACCACCAGCAGCCATTCTTCAGCCAGGTCACTGGGTACATCCACCAGCCACTCAGAAAGCATTAACTGCAAAAGACAGGCAGGCACAGCCAATTACAGACAGCTTCTTCATAAAGTTGCTGAAGGAAGTATCAAATTCCATACACTGCACTGGTGTACTTGAAGTATCCCACATGTGCAATGTGAATGCGTAAAGCAATAGAGAAATAATATAGTTACTGAATTATAAGCAAAATATTGCAGATGTTGGGAACCTGAAATTAAAAAACCTGAAAATGCTGGAGAAACTCAGCATTTATGAAGCAAGAAACAAAGTTATTGTTTGGAGTTGTAAAGTTCCAAAGAAGCAATATTTGGCCCAAAAGAGTGGAGTTTCTGTACAAATACTGCGAAACCTGACAAGTGTTTGCAGCATTTTCTGTTGCCATTTAAAAGCTCTGAAGGCTTCTTCTAGGAGAGGACCAATTCAAAGATGACCATTCCACATCTGTACTTCTCTTGGAAAACGTTAGTTGTGTTTTAATTGTGTTTACTTGTATACTATTAGTGTACAAGCATGACCTGGGGTTTCACTTGAACACCTAAACATAGTAGGGCTCTTGTGGTGGAGTGGTAGGGTCCTTTTCTCTAAGCCAGAAGGTCTGGATTCAAGAACCACCTGCCCTGAAAATGTGTCAAGACTTATCCAAACAGGTTAATTAAATAAATTTGTATAAGCATAGTTAACCCAGTGCAAGCAGTTCAGAGGACCTCCTCATGGATGGAGGCCTGCACTCTGGTCTCCCTGGAGAATGAGCATGCAGTCCACCAGTGTACTTAGGTCTTACATAAACTGAGTGTTGCAGGGCTGGGGTGCATCATCTCACCACACAACAATGCCCAGTTTAAATTTTTTACGTTTCATTTGTTCATTTGATTTTTGTTAAAGTGCCCCTTTAAGATACTGTCACTTATTTGGTTTAATTGGTTACTCAAAGCAGTGTAAAGAGGTACTGACTGAAACCAGTACTGTCCATCATCGACTGGCTATGCGGAAATTAATAGAAATGTTCCATAAATGATTACATAGAACACTTAAAAATATTTTTAGAAATATTTCATCTGTGGGTCTCCTTTGTGGAATCTTGTATATTGTTTATTTCTCCAATTAAATGAGAATACAATTTTACTTCCGTGCAGAACTTGCTGGAAAAGCTCAGCAGGTCTGGCAGCATCTGTGGTGGGAAATCAGAGTTCACATTTCAGGTCTGGTGACCCTTCCTCAGAACATCTGTTACACCTCACTAGGGTAGTGCACTCGAAATCAAGGCCCACTAAACCTGGAGTCAGCAGTAAAATTAAGGATTTTATTGAAGTATGCAAAATCCCAATTTACCTGTCAAATAGACCCAGCAAAGCAGAAAATATGGACCAGGTTTCTGACTTGACAAACTACTATTTATTACAACTAAACAGATCCCAAGGACAACAATTCCTTCCTTGTTTTTAAAACAATTCTATTCCCCTATTTCAGTCCACAATTAAAGATACAGAAAAATAAAAAGATTTAGTCTTTACATTTCTCATACAGGTCAATCACTACAAATGTGTCCTGCTCAAGAATTGTAATCTCATTTTTCAGTGAGTCAGCCATCAGATTCAGAAGCTTGTGGTTTGAAAGTCCATTCCAGAGACCTAAGCACAAAACACAGGCTGATGCTTGAGTGAGGTACTGAGAAAGGGCTGCCTTGTAAGAGGTACTGTCTTTCCAACTTGTACAGGTAAAAGAGCCCACAGCACTATTTGAGAAGAGTAGGGCAGTTCTCCCCAGTGTTCTCCCAATGCTTATTCTTCAACAAACATTATGAAAAGGATGATCTGGCCATTATCACATTGCTGATTGTGATACCGTTCTATGTGCAAACTGACTGCCCTGTGTCCCATACAGAACATGTCCCACTTCAAAAAGCAATTGCTTGTAAAGCACTGAGGTTTTGTAAGGTTGTACAATGATATAACTTAATTGATGAAGAAAAGAAGTTGTATTAGGGATGAGCATGAACCCAGAATCTCGCATTTATCAGATTTGCAATCTCAGGCACTCCACATTGCAGGGATGTAGCATCTGCAGGCTGTGTGTGTTTATAGGAGGAGAAAAGCCTGCAGCACTGAGAATTATCTCAAGCCACTTCCATGGTGCCATACTACAACTGGTTCTGATGGGGATGAAAATTACTGCTAAATCTAACAGTGATAAATGAGAATGTTGTCATAGTTATCGAGACCCCCTGTTTACATGCATCAAAATCCAGGTCAGGTTGAAGCCAATCTGGCACCAGTTGCAAATAACACAGACATCCCACATAAGAGGCACGAGAGTCTAAAATCCATTCATCCATAAACAGAGTTACTATAGTCATATGGACACAATTATATATAGGAGAAAACATTTCCATTTGGCCCCTTGGGGCAGTTCTGTCATTCAATACAATCATGGCTGATCTTCTGCATCACTCACAATCTGCTTCCCACATCCCTCAACTCCTTGAAAGGCCAAAAGTCAGGAGCAATAGTTCAAGTGCTACTTCCCTTTCCAGTGAAACATTTGTGCCAATTACTGGACCTCAGTACAGGAAAAGGTTCAACTGGCAACCTTCCATTCAGATCATTTACGGGTAATGTTTTTCTTTTGTGTTTCAACACTCGCAAAAGCTGCCAGGTTCATAGAAAAGGCTATGCTTATCCTTACTGCACAGTATTGCATATCGGCAGCACACATTATTAACTATCTCTGCGAATCTAAGTGGCCGGTACAGGCATACAATACAAAGCAATAGTATTTACGAACTTGAGCACACGTGGGCATCTATCCTGGAGTGACAGTACAAAGTAAAAACCGAAAGAACTGTGGTTACTGTAAATCAGGGACAAAAACAGAAGTTGCTGGAAAAGCTCAGCAAGTCTGGCAGCATCTGAGAAGAAAAAAAATTTCAGAGTTATTTCAGGTCCAATGACCCTTCGTCAGAACAGTTCTGAGGAAGGGTCACTGGACCCGAAATGCTAACTCTGATTTTTTTTTTTTTTTCACACATGCTGCCAGACCTGCTGAGCTTTTCCAGCAACTTCTGTTTTTGTTCCTGACAGTAGAAAGTTCTGGGCACAAACAGAACAAGATGATAACTTTGCTCACCTACTCATATTCTTTGACCGCAACTTGAAATTCAGTGGCCTCTTGCTGGAGTTGAAATAGGCAGCAGATGCACAGAAACACACCGACTTCAAGTCAACCTGACCTGAAATTACATTGCCATTCTTTTGTTGCCACTGGGTGAAAAATTTGCAACACCCTCCTGAACAGCAAGGGGAGTGTTTCTTCTCAATATGGACTGCACAGCTCAAGGCAGAAGGTCACCCTGCTCAAGGGTAATTGGAAATGCTGGCTTTGCTAGTGATGCCCATCTTCAAGAAATTAATTAAAAGAAAAATTCTAGGTGTAGACACATTAAAGCAAAAGATTGGTTAAAGTACTTTCCATTTTATGTCCTCTCCTAATTTCCCTCACTGGGAAAAAACATTATGAATTTTGATGCAATATTAAGAAGTTTTTGTAATTGCTCCAAGAGCACATATACCAAAACAGAAAAAAAGCATGGCTCCTGCACAAGGGCAACTTGCCTGTTCATCAAATATTGTGCATTTTAAGCCAGGGTTTAATTCTTGGAGGAGACCAATCGATGCAAGCTGCTCCCTCAGTGTAGGAGACCACTGGCAAAGTGAAGCTGGCATAGTCCTCAATCCCAACCAAATGATGGACCACTTCCAAATCTGACTAATCTCAAAATATGAACTAACTGATTCTGGCCACCCTACCACAACTCATTTCTTCCACCACAAAGGCAAATGTACTGAAGATGAGCAGATATTTCCTAAACTGTGGAGTTGAATAAAGCCTGAAATGTGCATCAAACAATATGAAAGTATCATTAAGTGGACAGTGAAGAAGATTACCTCAGAGCACAACAGGAGCTTGATCAGATGGACTGATGGGCCAAGGAGTGGCAAATGAAGTTTAATTTAGATACATGTGAGGTGTCACATTTTGATAACCTGCACAACTCGTACAGTTAATGGTAGAACCCTGGGGAATGTTTCCAAACAGAGACCCAGGGATGCAGGTGCAGAGTTCCTTGAAAGTTGAGTTGTAGGCAGACAGAGTGGTGAACACTTTCATTGGCCAGGACACCAAAGAGAGGAGCTGGGACGCCATGTTGCTGTTACACAGGACATTGGTGAGGCCACTTTTAGAATACTGCATACAATTCACGTTGCCCTTTCATAGGAAGGATCCTGTTAAACTTGAGAGGGTGCAGGAAAGATTTAAGGATGTTGCCAGGACTGGAGGGCTTGGGTTACAGGGAGAGGGTGAATAGGCTCGGGTTTTTTCTCCCCCTAGAGTGCCAGGGGCAGAAGTCACCTTAAAGGGGTTTATAAAATCATGAGGGGCATGGACAGGGTCAATAGCTAAGGGCATTTTCCCAAGGTGGGGGAGTCCAAAACCAGAAGGCATAGGTTTAAGATGAGAGGGTAAAAATTTAAAAATGTCCAAAGGGGCAACTTTTTCATGCAGTAGATGGTGTATGTATGGAATGAGATGCAAGAAGAAGGGGTAGAGGCGAGTATAATTATAACATTTAAAAGGTATCTGGATGGGAACATGAATAGGAAAGGTTTACAGGGATATGGGCTAAATTCTGACAAATTGTGAAAAATAGGTCAGACTGAGATGTCTGGTTGGTGTGGATGAATCAGACCAAAGGATCTGTTTGTTTCCATGCTGCATGACTCTTATAACCCTACAATAGATTCCCCAGCTCCGTTGTCGACAGGGCCCTCAATCGGGTCCGACCCATCTCCTGCACTTCTGCCCTCACCCCTTTCCTTCTCTCCCGCAACAGCGATAGGGTTCCCCTTATCCTCACCTACCATCCCACCAACATTCACATCCAGATCATCAGACGCCATTTCCGCCACCTCCAGCAAGATGCCACCACCAGACGCATATTCCCCTCCCCTCTCTTGTCCGCCTTCTGCAGGGACCGTTCCCTCTGGGACACCCTGGTCCATACTTCCTTCATCCCCAACACCTCCCCACAGCCCTACGGCACCTTCCCCTGCAACTGGCGAAGGTGCAACACCTGCGCATTTACCTCCTCCTTACCCAGTATCCAAGTGCCCAAACATACCTTCCAGGTGAAGCAACACTTCACCTGCATTTCCAAGAATCTAGTCCACTGCATTTGCTGCTCACAATGTGGTCTCCTTTACATTGGGGAAACGAAGCGTAGACTTGGCGACCGCTTCGCAGAACATCTACGTTCAGCTCACAAAAAGGACCCTGAACTACCTGTTGCCTGCCACTTCAATGCAGCACCTTACTCTCTGGCCAACATCTCTGTCTCCGGCTTGCTACAGTGTTCCAGTGAAGCCCAGCACAAGCTGGAGGAACAACACCTCATTTTCCGCTTGGGGACCCTACAGCCCTCCGGACTCAATATTGAGTTCAATAACTTTAGGGCCTAAACTCTCCCATGTCCCAGCCCCCCACCCCACACACCAGGCCTTGTTACCACATAGCCTGCCACTACACACCCCCTGTTGTTAGTCACTAACAGTCCCCATTAACAACTATTCACCCTCCCAGCCTGATCGTTAGCAACTCCTTTGTCTGTCCAACTGTCTTTCGCTCTCTTTGGGCTCTATCCTATCGTTTACTCCCTACCCAAACCACCTCCCTATTTTTTCCAAATAAATTGACGTTTTCCCAGCCACCATCAGTTCTGAGGAAGGGTCATTGGACCCGAAACGTTAACTCAGTTTTCTCCTCCACAGATGCTGCCAGACCTGCTGAGCTTTTCCAGCAACTTTGGGCCTATACTTCATGAACAAAAACAGAGTCCTCAATAGCTCCTCATAACGACAAGACGTTCATCCTGGGATCATCCTTGTGAACCTCCTCTGGACCCCACCCCCCCGCAAGACCAGCACATTCTTCCATACATACAGGTCACAAAACTGCTCACAATAGTCCAAATACAGTCTGATTGGAGCCTCACACAGCCTCAACAGTACCTCCCTGCTCTTGTATTCTAGCCCACTTGAAATGAATGCCAACATTGCATTTGTCTTCCTAATTGCCAACTGAATCTGTTTGTTAACCTTAAGAGAATTTGAACTAGGAATTAGATTTCCGAAGCCTTTCCCCATTTAGAAAATAGTCTACTCCTCTATTCTTCCCAAAGTGCATAACCTCACACTTTCCCACACTGTACTCCACCTGCCACTTCTTTGGCCACTCTCCCAGCTTGTTCAAGTCCTTCTGCAGCCTCCCTGCTCCCTCCGTCTATTTTTGTATCATCTGCAAACTTAGCAATAATGCCATCAGCTTCTTCAGCTAGATTGCAATAGGCTGAGTCAACTGTCCATTTCACATACAGGATCCCACACTGGTTGATGGGATTTCTCACATTGTCACTCCAAATCAACAGTTTCCCCCACCAATCTTAAAAGACCCTCAGTAACCTTCTCAGCTGTTATTTGTTCAAAACTTTTCTCACACTTTTAGTTCCTTTACACTCGATGGGATGCCAATGTGTAGTAAAATGTTCTTGCACTGTAAATTACTTGGAGTTTGTGAAAGGGTCCATGCAAATTTAAATCTGTTCTCCCCAAAATTGAGACAGAAAGGCTGTTTAAATTTAAATGGCATTGAAAAATGATAAATTATCCTTTTCTAACATTCCAGTGTGGTGAACTGCACGCATGAATGAACATCCCATCTTCTAATCCCTCAAAGTTACTGTTGTACCCTAAGAACAGTGCTGAATGACTCCGGGAAAGCTGTACTATTCAGACAGGACAATACTGCCATCTGCAGCAGGCAAGCAGAAATATGTGAAGTAAAACGCCATTTAACGACTTCAGGTACTTCTGAGCAAAACATTTCAATCTATAGAAACAACAACAAAAAAAAAGATTTGGGCATGAATACAAATACAGCATCGTGTATAAAGTAGTGACAACTGCCGAGGAGGGAAGTGGCTGCAACACAAATTCTTTTCCGTACACGAAAACAATTGTCCTTTTTAAGAGACTGGGGAGAAGCAACCAAAAATTTAGTCAGCAGGACCACGTAGCCACATAATTCACAGCAAAATAAAGACATTCTACCAAAAACAAACTGTGGTGTCTTTTATACAGATAATTGTCTGATTTAGTGATTTTAAAGTACATTTCTACATCCCATATATTGACCCAGGCTTTACAACTAGTGTCAATGCATTGGTCATTAGGATTCCTGTACCCTGGCTATATTGCATTATTGCAGCCAGGACTTCTGATCCAGCTGCATCATGGATCAGTGCAGACTTTGAAGAGCAGCACTGCTAAGTGCAGGAGCAGGAAAAGGCTGGAGAAGAGAGAACCTGTCCTCTTTTCATACCATCAGGTTCTGCGTTCAGTTAAGTTTTAAAGATCTCAAGGTTCAGTGGTGAATGGCTGAGTGGGGAAGTCGGTCAGGCAGTGATGGTGGAGGTGAGGTGTTATCAGGTTTGGGGTGTTATGCATATGTCATTCAAGCCTCTAGTGCTGAGCCATAAATCAAGGAAAATCCCGGGCAAAATAAGCCAGCCCACTAGGGGCAAAATAAACCAGCCCACTAGAAGTCTCAATTTCCAGGACAGTTTCAGTGAGCTTGTGCATATCAGGATCAACAGTCCCTCTAAGCTGTGCAGCCACTGGGAAGTGCCACTTATGTGCATGCTGATACATAGCTTCTGCTTCAGAAGCTGCTGCCACCATGCACAGCCCTTGGTAGACTGTGCAACAGCAAGAAAAATTAGAGGGAACATTGATCAGGGCTAGCACAATTAAACAGCAATTAAATCCATACTTTATTGCTCTGAATCTGGGAAGGTTCAGACCATCTACGACAGTAGCACCTCATTTCAGTGACCCATTCTGACATATCCCCAGGTACTGACTATAACTGAATGATTATTTATTCAGGAGAGGGGAATACACAATAATCCATAGGACTGTGCTGAAGAAGCATTGTCAGTATTGCATTACGAAGTGCCGACGAGTAGCCTTGTTGAAACTTCTGCCTTTTCTCCTCACAACAAGTAGCTTACATCATCAAAATATTATCTGGGCATTAACTCAATGGTGGGATCTTGCTTCACACAACTGGCTTCCAGATGCTGTCGTGACTAACAACAAACAACTAAATAGTAAATTGTGCAAGAAGTTGCACTTATGTGATCTCAAGACACCCCAAAGCTCTTTCCTGGCACAACCCCTTATCACTAGTCTTTTGGGAAAAGCACCTGAGAGTACTGTTACCTAGTGAACAGGCCATGTCCAAATTAAGAGTCATGCCCACTTGTCCTGGTCTCTCCCACTGGTTGTTTTAACCCATTGGGACATTTTCATTGTGCGTCAAAGTCTCACAGTTCCTGTACAGGTGTCACTTTATTAATCCCTGCATTTGTAGCAGATTAATGCATAGGCCAATTCTACAGACAGAGGGAGAGTTAACCAGATGGAGGGGTTTTTCCTTCCTGAATCTCTGAAGAGTTTGAATGGACTTTAGTTCCTGAGCACCAAGCAGTGGTCATTCTTCAGGACTAGGTTTTGTTGGCCGATTTAACAATCAACACAGCCTTGGTTCACTTGAATGCACACACTTCTGGTTAAATCAATGTACAAGAATTAGGACAGGGGGCCCCACCTTATTTTCCTATAAAAACCAAAAGAACTGTGGATGCTGCAAATCAGGAGCAAAAACAGAAGTTGCTGGAAAAACTCAGCAGGTCTGGCAGCATCTGTGAAGAAAAAAATCAGAGTTAACATTTTGGGACCGGAGACCCTTCCTCAGAAATGTTAACTCTGATTTTTTTCCTCACAGATGCTGCCAGACCTGCTGAGCTTTTCCAGCAACTTCTGTTTTTGTTCCTTATTTTCCCATATTTGCCGAGGGATGATGCAGAAAACCTACTGCTGAAGCTTGACCCACTTCTTGATCAAGAAGCTGCAATCAGCACCCTTCCTCGGGGAATGACTCAAGAATATTTTCCGACCTGGTTTGCGTAGCGTTTGGGTAACTTCCTCTTTGTCACTTCAACTTCCATTTCATCATGTCCCTCTGGTTCCTCCTCACTGTCTTCTCCTGTCCAGTCATCTTCAGCCAGACGCCTTGCATGGTTAACATAATTCAGTCGCTGCCTTTTGATGCAGAAGCACAAAGCAAAGTTGAGGTTAGTGCAACACTAGTGCTTAAATACAGCACAAAGTACAGAATCTGTAGAGTGTCCTTTTCACAACCACAGGAAATTCCAAAGTTCTTTACGACCAATAATGTACTTTTGAAGTGCAGCCACTGTTGTAAATTGGGAAATTCAACAGCATGTTTCCACACAAAAAGCTCTCACAAACAGCAATGTATCAATGATAAGCTAAAAAGAAGTGATGGATAAATATTTGCCCATAAAAGGAGGAAATCTTTTGCTCAATTCAGAAGTAATGCGGTGGGATATTTCATGTTCACTTGAGGGTAGATGGGCCTCCATTTAATGTACCATCAAAAGGATGGCTCCTCTGACAATATAGCTCCTCTTTAGTACTTTAAAAATAACAGTAAACTCAGCAGAAGGATATATTCCCAAAACATCAGCTAGCCTTTCATCTTGACAGAAACTAGCCGACATCACAATAGTATTGAAATAAAACAAAGAACTGCAGATGCTGGAAATCTGAAATAAAAACAAAGTGCTGGAGAAACTCAGCAGGTCTGGCTGCAACTGTAGAGAAGGGAACAGAGTTAATATCTCAAATCCAGCCACCCTTCTTCAATTGATTCTGTCACAGTTTCTGTTTTTATTTTTAAATCACAATGATATTATCTGGCCTCTATCACAGTCATTTGAGAGATCTGGTTTTGTACAAATTGGCTGCCTCCATTTCTAAATTACAACAACAATACCCATTGGGTGTATTGCATTGCCTGAAAAGCACTTTGGGACAACAGCAGGTTGTGGAGGTTCTATACAAATGCAAGCACTTTTTTTAAAATGGAGGACAGTATCCAATAAACACGGCATGGTGGCTCAGTGGTTAGCACTGCTGCCTCACAGCACCAGGGACCTGGGTTCGATTCCACCCTCGGGCGATTGTCTGTGTGGAGTTTGCACATTCTCCCCATGTCTGCGTGGGTTTCCTCCGAGTGCTCCAGTTTCCTCCCATAGTCCAAAGATGTGCAGGCTAGGTGCCTTGGCCATGCTAAATTGCCCGTAGTGTTCAGGGACGTGTAGATTAGGTGGGTTATTGAGTGATGGGCCTGGATGGAATGCTGTGAGAGTCGGTGTGGACTTGTTGGGCCGAAGGGCCTATTTCCACACTGTAGGGATTCTATGATTCTATGAATAAACCTTCTGCCACCGGAGAAAAACAACAGGAGGCGGCTGTTTTTGCATCACAGGACCAATTGATTTATAATCATTAACAGTGGCAATATCTTGTTCAAAAGGCAGGTGGCAGTATTTTTGAGAGATGGTCTTCTTTGGGATGGTCTGGTTATAAATACAAGTCTTGTCTTCTCAAACCCGAGTACAGGTATTCAATAAGTTAAGGTGGAACCCCCACAACATTCCCAGTAGATTTACATTGCCCCATTTCTTCCTCCCATATCAATATGACAAAAGAAGCAGAGTTTGTTTTGCAAGAACAACTGTACACTTGTCTAATCAGAGGCACATACAGAAGGACCTTTTTAATCAAACAATATGATACCTGATTTTTTTTGTTTTCATGGTGAGACGACTGGGAGAAGCATACCTTGAAATGGCAAAAACTGATTCAGCAAACACCACCTTACATTGGTAGCGTCTTTAATATAATCCCAAGACTCTACAGGGGAATTCTAAAACAAAACATGACACTGAGCCACACAGGGCAATATTAAGACAGACAAACAAAAGCTCACTGTAAAATACAGAGTTTAAGAACAGCCATAATAGAGGAAAAAGAAGATGATGCAGACAAGACTAGGGAAGAAATCTGCAGGATTTAAGGCCCAGGCAGCTGAAATTACAGCATCAATGGTGGAACAATTCTGAGGAACGGTCACTGGACCCGAAATGTTAACTGTTTATTCCTTCACAGGTCCTGCCAGACCTGCTGAGCTTTTCCAGCAACTTTGTTTTTCTTCCTGATTGACAGCATCCGCAGTTCTTTTGGTTTTTATTTTGTGGAACAATTAAAATCAGGAATGGTTAAAAGGCCAGAATTAGAGGGGCAAAGACAACTCCAAGAATTGTTGGGCTGGAGGAGACTACAGAGAAAAGGAGGCACAAGACCATGGAGGGACTGAAAAAAAAGATGAAAATTTAAAACAAAAATGTTACTTGACTCAGACTCAGCGAGCATAGGCAGAATCTGCTGTGCTTTAAAACTTGAGCAGTAGTTTTGGATGACCTCCAGCATACAGGAAGGTAGGATGTGGGAGGCCTGCCAGCAGGGCATTAGAATAATAATATTTAGAGGCAACCAAATTATGGACAAAAGTTTCAGCAGCATGTTATTGAGGCTGTAGGGGAGTCAAGGAATATTCACTATCAAAACATAAGCCACTGCAGATTTGTGAATTATGCTGCCCAATGTTATTTTTGTCTCCTTCACTAATCCATGCATTTTCGATTTGCCCGATTTAACATCGCAGTAGCAGCTAACCAGTTATTAAGGGCACAAGGAGCTGGAGAAGAGATGGCAAATCCAAGTGGTTGAACCTAAAGACATTCCACAATTTGCACCGATCTCATTGCTTTCCTTCATTCTAATGACTTACAATTTTTGGTTCTCCAGAAGTTTCTGCCTCCGCTCTGCTTGCTCCTGTGTGTTGGATTTGAGTTTGTACTGGGCAAGTCGTGGATGTGGAGCGGCAATGCTGTTGAGGTCGCGAGAGACTGTAAAGCTGGTGGACAATGCCTGACTTAATTCGTCCATAATGATCTCTTTAAAAGCAGAAAAAAAACCCATCATGTTATTTTGGAGGACAGCACGGGTGTTCTCCCACTTCTGGCCAATATCTATCCCTTAACCAACATCGCTAAAAAAGATGATCTGAGCACATTTGGCGTATGGGGACTATGCAGAGGTCAAATTACCTGCTGTGCTTCTTAAATGCAACAGCATATCAAAAGTATCAAGAGAGCTGGAAAGCATGTGAATTTTGAGATTGCGCTTTATGAATACAAGTTATTTCTCAATGAATTGGGCAGCTGCTTTTCGAGGTTTGGATGGGTAAGGCAAATTTGTCCTTTGTTTTCTTTTCATACTGCTTCCCCAGAACTGGCTCTCTTACCTTCATGCAAGGCCTAACAGGCAAGCCGAGAGAGCAAGCACCAAACCTCCACCGGGGACAGCCTGAAATCAGTCGCGGGGACCTGTCCAAATTGGGAGTGCATGAGTGAAAGACTTTTCTCACAGCAAAAAAGAAAATTGCTCGAGAAACTCAGCAGGTCTGACGACATCGATGAAGAGTAAACAGAGTTGCCATGTCAGATCATACGGCTCGGAAGCAGACCCTTCGGTCCAACTGGCTCGTGCCAACCGGGCTTCTCAAACTAAATCAGAGATAGTAGGAACTAAGATAACATGGTGTAGAGCTGGATGAACACAGCAGGCCAAGCAGCATCAGAGGAGCAGGAAGGCTGATGTTTCGGGCCTAGATCCTTCTTCAGAAATGGGGGAGGGGAAGGGGATTCTGAAATAAATAGGGAGAGAGCGGGAGGCGGATTGAAGATGGATAAAGGAGAAGATAGGTGGAGAGGAGACAGACAGGTCAAAGAGGCGGGGGTGGAGCCAGTAAAGGTGAGTGTAAGTGGGGAGTTAGGGAGGGGACAGGTCAAGGGGGCAGGATGAGGTTAGTAGGTAGGAGATGGGGCTTGAAGTGGGAGGAGGGGATAGGTGGGAGGAAGGACAGGTTAGGGAGGTGGAGACAAGCTGGGCTGGTTTTGGGATGCGGTTGGGGGAGGGGAGATTTGGAATATCTGGGAATGAAATGCCTCATCCTGGCAGCAGATGTGGCGGAGGCGAAGGAATTGGGAATAGGGGATGGCATTTTTGCAAGAAGGTGGGTGGGAGGAGGTGTATTCTAGGTAGCATCTCTGAAACAATAGTAGGAACTAAACTAGTTTTATCAAGGGATCGTTGGACGAAGATTTGCAGCCAAGGGAGTAGAGGTCCAGGCTGACAATAAGAACAATCGTGCGGGTTAACTGCTGTGCAACTCGGATCAGTTGAATCACTGTGCCGCAGCACATTTTAATATGATACCCGCCTGAGCAGGGGGGTTGGGGAGAGGAGATGGCTTGTTCAGGGAGGGCCGGCAGATGGGGGCAATCTCTCCATCCCCTGAACGGAACAGCACAGCAGGGAGCCTCTGGTGTTGCATGGGGCCCGACCAGACCCGGGTCTGGAGGCTGAAACCAGCAGAGCCAGTCCACCACATCCTCTTCAGGCCTGCGGCCCTCGGGAGTTCAGGGAGCGGGACATCAAAGATGCACCAGGGACCACAGCCAGGATCAGAGATTCCGGTTAGTCATGAGGTGGTCAAAACCCCAATTAAACAGGAAAGGAGCCTTTATTTCCCGTCACTGGCGAGAGAGAGAAAGCCCCAGCTAAAATAACTAAACCAAATCCAGGCAATTTAACTACCTCGAGCTGATCGTGTGTCAAAACCCCGAGTTGATTTTTTTTCTCCTCACCGGACTCCCTGCACCCAGCGCTGCTGCGGGTGGCCAACCAACACCTCTCACATCCTCTCACTCCCCACGCACGGAAAGGCGACAAGGCCAACCAGCATCTTTCCCGGGATTGCAAATAACATTCTATTTGAACACATGACATGGGGGTGTAAATTGCAACTGCCAATTGTCAGGACCGGAAAAATGGATCACTTCTCAAAAAAGAAACGCACACCGACCGGAAGCGGCACTTTTTTGTCCTGCCAAAAGCATTTTTGCACTTCTGAAGAAAGGTCACAGGACCTGAAAATTTAACTCTGCTTTTTCTCCACAGATGCTGACAGACCTTCTGAGATTTTCCTGCAAAAAGTAATGATTTTGTTTCTGATTTCCAGCATCCACAGTTCTTTGGGATTTTTGTTTTGTAACTTTGCCGTTAGTTTTGTCAGCCAACAGGCTTCATATTTGTAGGAGCAACTTACTGCAGATGCTGGAATCTGTACTGAAAACAAAAAATGCTGGAAATCACAGTGGGTCAGACAGCATTCATGAAGAGAGCCCAAGCTTACATTCTGAGTCATTCATGAAGAGAGCCCAAGCTAACGTTTCGAGTCTAGATGACTCTTCATGTGGTGACCTGCGGTGATTTCCAGCGGTTTTTGTTTTCAGACTTCATATTCAATTTGATATATTTTTGTCATATGTACCGATATACAGTGAAAAATATTGTTTTCTATGCTAATCAGTATTTAAATAAATAAAAACCGACTATGCGGGGCAAACTCAGCAGGTCTGGAAGCATCTGTGTGTAGAGAAAATTAGAGTTAACTTTTCAGGTCTGTGACCTTTCACCAGAACTGTGTAAAGTTAGAGAGGTAGAGGTAACAGTGTGGAGCTGGAGGAACACTGAAGAAGGGTCCTGACCCGAAACATCAGCTTTCCTGATCCTCTGATGCTGCCTGGCCTATCTCTGAAGAAGGGTCTAGGCCCGAAACCTCAGCCTTCCTGCTCCTCTGATGCTGCTTGGCCTGCTGTGTTCATCCAGCTCTACACCTTGTTATCTCTGTGTCCCTCCAGCTCCACACTGTGTTATCTCTGACTCCAGCATCGGCAGTTCTTACTATCTCTGAGAAAGTTAGAGATGTAATAAGCTTTATCATCTCCTCACTCTCATCCTCATCAAACAATCCCTTCATCCCAGGAATCAGCCTAGCCATTTTTTTCTGAACTGGCTCTACTGTAACTATGCCATTCCTTAAGATTGTAAATATTACTCTAGGTGCAGTCTCACCAATGCCCTATACAGTTGTGGGAAGATTCTTTACTTTTATACTCCATTTGCTTTTGTAATTAAGACAACTATTCCATTTGACTTTCTAATTACTTTCGTGCCTGCATAGTAACTTTTTGAAATTCACTGACAAGGACATCCAGATCTGTCCTACCCCAAGCATTCCATAGTCTCTCTCCATGTCAATAATATTCTGCTTTTTTATTCTTCCCACAAAAAAAGGACAGCTTCACATTTTCACATATCATACCTCCATCTGCTATTTTTTTGTCCATGCACTTATCCTGTATATATCCCTTTGTAGACTCTTTGTGTTCTCACCACATCTTGCTTTAAAATCTATCTTTGTACCATCACTAGATTTGCCTACAATATACTTTGCTTTTTCATCCAAGACTTTATAAATTGTTGAGGCCAGTCACCAATCCCTGTGGCATCCCAATTAGATACTCATGAAAATGAACAAATTTTCATGGCTCTCTGTTTCCTGTCAGTGAATTTACCATCTACTTATGCCAATATATCACCTCCAAAACCATTAACTCTAACCTTGTGGAATAACCACAAAACAGGACAGAAAAAGAAATCAATATGCCACATGGATGTCAAATGCCAAGCTGAGCTGGTTAATTCTGCTTATATACATACATACAAATATCACAAGAGGGTGATTTTCAGATTTTCTATGTTGGTATTTCACTGAGTGCCTTTCGGAAATTCAAATACACTGTAGCACTGTATCGACCCAGCTTTTTCTGTCCATGAAAACCTCTAAGAAATTTATCAAAAAATACTTACCTTTCACAAAATCATGTTGTCACTACCTGATTTTATATGATTTTCTTAATGTTGTATTACTGACTCATTAACATTGGATTCCAGCACTTTCTCAGTGATAAAGTCACACAAACTGGCTTATAGTTTACTCTTTTTTTGTCTCTCTCCTTTGCTGAATAGAGGTGTTGTATCTACAGTTTTACAGTCTGTTGGAACTTTCCAAGAATCTAGCAAATTTTGGAACATTACAATCAATGCATCCATAATCTTGAAGCCACTTGAATGAATGATTTATATTGTCACGTGTATTTTACAGTGAGAAATACAATAAAATAAAGTGAAAACTTTTATTCATTGCCACAATATGGTGCCATTTTGATGGTTTAAGAATGAGAAAAATTAAAAGCAATAGATTAAAGAGAAGTCCATCTACATTTGAGTTCTGAGCCACCTCGGAACCACCACAACCTTGCCACCATCTACATCTGACCCAACTAACGCCCAAGTCGCTGAACCTCAGGTGCCATCTTTTGCTTCTGGGCCGATTCACCTCCAACACTGCCTCGTCAGACCCACCAATGTCGGAGTCTCTCGCTGTGGCCCAACTCATAGATATTGCCACGATGCCCTTCTGCCACCGCCAGACCTAACCAACAACAAAATTGCTGATCTCACTTAGAGTCATACAGCACAGAAACAGGCCCTTCAGCCCAACTTGTCCATTCCGACCAGCTTTCCTAAACTGAACTAATCTTAGTTGCCTGCATTTGGTCCATATCCCTCTAAACCTTTCCTATCCATTACCTGTCCAAACGTCTTTTAAATGTTATAATTGTACCCGCCTCTACCACTTCCTCTAACAACTCGTTACATGTAAGTACCAAACTCTGTGTGAAAATGTTGCTCCTCAGGTCCCTTTTAAATCTTTTCCCTCTCACCTTAAACCTATGCTCTTTAGTTTTGGATTCCCCTACCCTGGGAAAAAGACCTTGGTTATTCACCTTATCTATGCCCCTTGTGATTTTATCAATCTCTATAAGGTCACCCCTCAACCTCCTAGTTCTATGGAAAACAGTCCCAGCCTATCCAGCCTCTCATAAGTCAAACCTTCCAGTTTTTGGGACAATGAGTCATAGAATCCCTACAGTGTGGAAACAGGCCTTTCAGCCCAATGAGTCTGCACCGACCCTCAGAGCATCCCACCCAGACCCATCCCTCTATAACCCACGGAACCTACATATCCCTGAACACTACAGGCAATTTACCATGGCCAATCCACCTAACCTGCACATCTTTGGACTATGGGAGGAAACCAGAGTACCTAGAGGAAACCCACGCAGACACAGGGAGAATGTGCAAATTCCACACAGACAGTCACCCGAGGGTGGAATGGGACCCAGGTCCCTAGCACTGTGAGGCAGCAGTGCTAACCACTCAGCCACCGTGCCACCCCAACAGCCATGATTTTCTTTTGTGCAAGGAAAATCATGTCTCACAAATTTGATTGAGTTTTTTGAGGAAGTTACCAAAAAGATTGATAATGGCAGTGCAGTAGATGTTTATTTGGATTTTAGTGAAGCCTTTGACAAGGTTCCACATGATAGACTAATTAGTAAAGTTAGGTCATATGAGATTCAGGGTGAGCTTGCCAATTGGATACATAATTGGCTTAACAGCAGGAAACAGAGACTAATGGTGGGAGGTTGCTTTTTGGATTGGAGGCCTGTGACCAGCGGTGTTCCACAGGGATCAGTTCTGGGTGCTCCTTTGTTTCTCACTTATATAAATGATTTGAATGAGAATACAGAAGGCCTGGTTAGTAAGTTTGTGGACGAGACCAAAATTGGTGGCATAGTAGAGTGAATAAGGTTTTCCAAGATTACAAAGGGATCTTGATCAAATGGGTCAATGGACTAAAAAATGGCAGATGGAGTTCCATCTGGATAAATGTGAGGCATTGCATTTTGGTACAACAAAAAAGGATACAGCTTATACAATTAATGGTAGGGCTTTGGGGTGCTTGTAAATCTTTTTTGCACTCTTTCCAGTTTAATAATATCCTTCCTATAGCAGGGCAACCAGACTTCTTTTAAGACACCAGGATTCTGGTTATCAGGTCCAGTGGACTTGTCAGCTGTTAATGCCAATAATTTCCCCTGTACATTTTTCTAACCATCAGCAGCTGCAGAATCGTATTAAACTACAATAGGTAAACTCATGGTCTTGCATATCGCCTCCTCTCCACCATTATAACTAAGTCAGGAGATCATCCCTGGCCAATGAAGATTGCAGAAAGGTATGCCTGGAGCAGCAACAGGCACACCTAGAAACAACACATCAACCTGGTGAAGCTACAACATAGAACTACCTGCATGCCAAGTAGCAAAGCAAATTGTGAGATACCAAGCCAAATGATCCCACAACCAACTAATCAGGTCTAGTCAAGTTGCCCAAGTATGAAGCTATACTATATGTGCTGGCAGACACAACACCACTCAGTTTTCAACTTCTGTCCACATTTCAATACTGCTGTCACCAGGTATCAACTAAGGCTTGAAGCTCTAATTTTGTTGAAGTTAAGTGCAGAGCACAATTTTTATATTCACTGACCAAATACTCAGGATTAAATAATTGAATATTTCACCTTTTGTTCCATAGAGCTTGGTGCCTTTACTTACAAGGCCTTTGGGGATACCACTTTTGGATTTTTATGGATTGAGTATATTAATTAATGTACAGGAAATTTTTTTTTGGTAAATCTAATGTTGTGGGTTTCACTGGCAAGGATGGCAATTTATTATGAGTGCGTAATTGCTGCTCTTGAACCACTGCAGATCAGATGGTGAAACCACTCCATCAGTGCTATTACAGAGGGAATCCAGGATTTTGACCCAGTAACAATGAAAGTATATGTTCAAATCAGAATGGCACAATCAAACATGGATTTAGTGGCATTTCCATACATCTGATCCTTTTGTCCTTCTGTGTGGGATTGGGAGATGCTTAAAAAAAAATTGAATTGAGATGAACATTGTGCACCTGTG